CACACACACACACACACCCACGCACGCACGCACGCACGCACGCACGCACGCACGCACGCACGCACGCACGCACGCACGCACGCACGCACGCACGCACGCACGCACGCACGCACGCGCGCACGCACGCTCGCTCGCTCGCTCGCCCGCATGTAGGTAGGTAGGTAGGTAGGTAGGAAGGTAGGTAGGTATGTATGTAGGTATGTATGTATGTATGTATGTATGTAGGTATGTATGTATTTATGTATGTATGTATGTATGCATGCATGCATGCATACATGTATGCATGTAGGCAGGTAGCTAGCTAGACAGGTTTGTCTGTAGATGCATACGTACCTAAGAAAGGTCCTCCTGCAGGCCAAGCCAACAAGCTTTAGGGGTTGCAAGGGACTTGACAGAAGTGAAAACTACAGGGTCTCTGCAGAGGCTTTTGCATGTTTGCCCAGAAGCTGCCATTGAAGCCCAAGCTACAGGTTTTTGGAGTCCTACTTGAGAGTTTTCAGCTGCCCGACCCATGAGTAATTCTATTCTCGGGCACTTCGCTTTCAACGTTGCCCTTGCATTCCAAGAGAAGGGGATCCCAGTGAAGGACAGCTCCAAAAAACTACACAGGAGGTCCTGAACCATCGGCCCTTGCCAACCCAAAACGCAAGCCGTAAACGCCCAGGCAGAAGCCAAGGCTGCCGCGGCAACCAGCGGAAAGGCCGTTGGCTTTTGCAGCCGTCGTGGTCATGTCTCGTCTTCCTTATATATGTCTGCTGTTGCTACGACCACTGCGAATATTGCCTTCTACCCCTTTTCCTCCTGCTATTCCTGCTCCTCCTGCGATTACCGGACCACGACGACTATTACTACCATACCGGGAACCCAACTAGATCTTGAATCCTCAACTCCTACTTACAGGTCTATGGGCAGTGAGAAGAAGTCCTCTTGGATGCATTACTACAGCTATCAGCAATTCTACTTCAAGCCCCGCCTGCAAGTATCTTTCAAGTGCCCATGAACCTGTTAGGAAAAGAGTGAGAGTGCCAGCATAAGTATTATTAGACGTATAGATATTAGGTCAGGTACGCGGATTGCTGCAGTCCAAGTAACCCCCTCTGATAATTAGGCTGGAGGTCCCCAATCACAGGGTTTGCTTGGCACCAAAAGTCTGATACTTGAGTACTTGGACTCTGCACCCTCAGCGTTCCCCTGGATCCTATGCCGTATAAGCCCTAAACCCTATCACACTCTAAGCCCTATGAAGCCTCAACCCTGAGTCGTATAGTGTCGATCAAGCGGTCGCTTCCCTAAACCCTGAACCCTAAGCCCCAAACCCCAAACCATAAACCCTAGACCCTTAATCCTAAACCGCGCCAGGTTTCGCAGGTTATTGGCGCTGTGGTTGACGTGCGGCTGCCGCAGTTTGGTTGGGTAGTTGGGTTGAGGGATTAGTGTTCATCAAAGCTAAAGGGAGTCAGTTTATGGATTCAGGTTTGGGGTTTAATTAGGGACTCGTCGAGCATGTAGGGTGCATATAATGACATGTTTGCTTCGGCACTAGGAGGATAGTTTAATCTCGCATGTAGTAATGAGGATTTCAGGGTTGTGGGTTTAGGGTCACCTCGCCTATAATGATCAATGGACGCTGTGTTGTACAGAGAAAGGGTACTCAAACACCCTGAACTAAACCTGTTTTGGGTTGGACTCTTCTACTTGGACCCCTGGGTTTGTGCTTCATTTGGGAGGATTGTTGAGTGTGTATTGGGGGCATATTGGGGAACTCTTCTAAGGGTCCAAGCACAAGGGTCCAACTCAAAACCCTTTGGTACTTTATTTGGAGCAGAAGTTTTGAATCAGAGGGTCTTTGAAGTTGCCATCCTGCGTTTGGCGGGCAAGATCCTCCGTTTGGCGGGCAAGATCCTCTATGTGTGGTAAGTGATATTTGCCCATCCACCATGGTAATCCCCCTGCCCTAAACGCATTCCCCATTTAACCCCAGAACCATAAGCTTTCCCAATACAGTGCAATCGTATCTGAGCGGGGCATTGGATGTTACAGGGGTTGTGGGGTTTGTCTGAGGTCGCAGGCATGACCTATGTTGCATCCAAGCCTGGGTTCCTGGCTAAGACAATTTGTCCATACTGCAGAAACTAGGTGCAAGATCGGCTCCCCCAAAATCCTATTATCCTAGTTTTCTACGCCCTGAGCCTGAGCCCCACGAAATTGAATCCTCTAAACCCCGAATCCCTGAATGCCCTAAACTTCCTAAGCTCCCTCACCCGCCACTACCAAAAGCCCCCCCTAGCTTTCTCCCCTCCCAAGCTCTTTCGTCAGATGCCTGGCTTTGCCAGGTGCAGTTCGACACCGCGCTGCCCCCCATCCTAAATGCGCTCGAGGCATTGCCCTGAACTGAGTTAAGATTACGGTCTTTGGGGTTCAAGGATTAGGGATCTTTGCGGTTTGGGCTTTAGGGATCAGAGATCTTTGAGGCGTAGGGTTCAGGGATCTTTGAGGTGCAGGAACTAGGGCTCAGCAATTTTTGCAGTGGAGTGATTTGGGAGCAGTATTTATGAGTTTAGCTTTCATTTTTCCGGGTTATATGTTTCCCTATATAACTACAGATGTGTTGTATGGGCTAGGTGACCTCATCAGGCCAAGCACGATCATGGATGCCTTTGATTTCAGTTAATTATTGCCATGATACAAATCCTTCGAGAGGCAGGTCAGCATGAGCTTTGCCACTGGTGCCGGCTTAATAGCATCAGTTCGTTTAAAGTATAGCCTCCGCGAGAGGCACGCATTTCTGCTACTAGTCGTCGTTTTGCCCTCGAGTGCACTTGGAGGGTTTGAAACTCTCACTGTTCTACATAAACATAATCTCACAGGTGGGGCTGACGCGGGCATGAGGTATACTGAAATTATTAGCCCTTGTGTTGTTTTGTGGCTTTTCTGGCCATGACTTTGTGAGCTCTAAGTTGCTCGTGCAGTGCATGAGCTCTTGCACACTGTCTCCTACATGTTTCCCCTTGGCTTTTGCTGTGTGTGCCCGCAGTAGTGGGGCCAGCTTACATGTGATTTGTCCATGCTTGCCTGCAACATGGGTGGTGCCTCAAGATCATGTGCCTGCAGAGGGACCCTGCTCTTTTTTTGAGCGATGCGCCGCTCAATTGCATCTTATCGCGCTCCAGAAATTGAGTGCCCTACTACCATAAAGTATATCATAATAGATTATGTTACTATGCTATAATATCTTACAGTTCTAGTATATTATAACGTATACTAAAATGTATATTGTAGGCGCATGCTTGTTGACTGGAGGCATTCACAAGTGCGAATGCTCGAGAGCTCCATCTCCTCATGTTGAGTTTATCCTATCACGAGTAGAAATGTATGGTTCTTCCGTATACATGCTTGGGAGAGGCATTGTTGAGCGTAGGAGGAGACAAAGGGATATCAGGTATTTCAACATTCCGATGGACCCTTTCAGCGCTCCAGTGCCCACAGATCTGGAGGATTCAGGGGCCCCTCATTTTGGAATAGTTTCTCTAACATGTAAAACCCACAATAAACCCCAGATTCTATGTCATTTGCTGCGTCATTTGATGTTTCATGTACTGGGGTAGTCGTATCCCCAAGCTTTTGAGAAGCCCTAAATCCCATATACCCCTAATATACCCCTATTATATATAGTACCCCTCTAGTATCCCCAGCTTGGTGAAACCCCCCATCTGAGTATTCAGGCAACTGGAACCTCAGCTCTTGACCCCAAACCCTAAACCCGAAACCTTAAACCTTAAAACCTGAACCCGAAATCCTAAACCCTAAACCCTAAGCCCTAGATAGTCCTAATCCCTAAATAGCAGTTTCCGTTTGCTTTTCCATTATCTCTACAAACCCCTATAATAACCCTCATAATAGCCTTATAAATACCTTATAATCCCCTTGATCCCTAAACCTTAAATAACCCCTTTAATAACCCTTGCGGATAGGTGGAAGGCTTCGAGCATCGCCTCGTGCTCGAGGTGGCGCAGCACCTTGGTCCGGCGCCCAGATCAGGGTTTAGGGGTCTACGGTTTAGGGATTCAGGGTTTAGGATTTCGGATTTAGGGTTCAGGGTTTAGGGTTTACCCAGACAGATATGGTGGGGTTCCAAAAAGTTAGGGGGTACCTTTAAAGGGGATAGAGGGGTCATACAGTGATATATAAGGTTTAGGGTCTAGGGTACCCTTTGGGGGTCCCCAGTAAAAAGGATTACCGGTCCTCATTGGGGGGAACCGCCAGCCTATCCAATATTCCTACCCGTATGTAGCTCTTTTCCGGTAGTAGATTGTAATCTCTTGCCATGAAGCTGTAACAAACCCAAAGCAGGAACTATGTAGCAGCTTTGGGGTAGGCTAAAAGCGGCTTTCGGTTTAGGACGCTGGCGAGAAGTTTGCTGACACCGGTACTAGATGTACACGGCATACACCGGTACTAGATGTACACGGCATACCTGTTTCAATTTCTGCGATGACGGTTTTGAAATGTATCTCTTTCTGCAGTCTGTGCCAGACTGCTACGAGGCATGCAGCATGCGCGATGATGGTATTCCTCTCACCCAGAATTCATCGGCGACAGGATGCATCATGAGTTTATAGGCACTCAGGCGTAAAGCAAATGCAAAGAACAAGTTGTGACCCCGTAACCGCTCAGGCACTAAGCCATAGAGGACGGTGCTCATCCCAGAAAACTCAACACCAGATAGGCCGCTAACCCTACCTTCAATCCGAAGCCTCTGAACTTACAGAGTTTCTTTCTGCTGAGGCGAGAACATGGTTCGCACTATTGCGATGGATGGAACAGATGGCTTGACCCGCGGTCAGAAGGCGCAAGATTCTTCAAATCAAGCTATGTAAGGATATAGGGTTTAGGGGGAGTAGCTGTATATACATGGCTTATGGCTCATGCGTACGTGGATTGCGGTGGGTGCAGGGTGATGCAAGAGATGCACAACCCGGTTGGTTTCAGAAATTTTCTTGTCACCCAGGATTTTGGTAAACATGATTCGGACGACTTCATACATTGCAGGGTCAGAATGCAGCGGCCGAAAATGGCCACAACGCATATACTTTTACACGAGCCGACTTCTATTTCGCACTTGCAGTATCCTACAGGGGGCCATGTAGCATGAAGTATTTGTGGGTCTTTTGAGGGACTAGGAATGGAGACAGTGTACCTGGAAGTTCATGGGTCGCTGCGGCTGAGCTCACAATATAAGTATAGAGCTCTAGTTGCAATAACTGTAGTTCTAATACATGTACCCTCGCCTATAATCTCCCATGAACTTCCAAGGTTGATGAGAGCAGCCCTAGCAAAGCTCTGCAGTGCAGCGCTGCGACGGGTTTCAGCTGTTGTTTTGTTTTAAGCTAGGGGTCCTATGGGGGTGCATAGAGATTGTAGCGTTTAGAGGTAGGGGAGGGCCCGAACTATCCAAGTACGAACCTTTGTTGTCCAGGTCATCGATACTGGTGCCCCTATCACTGTGCCTGTGGGCGAGCAGACGTCGTGGCCTTGTGAGGGTTTGGAGGTTCCATGAAACCCTCAAATGTATCCAATACTTGAGAAATTGGGGATTGGTGCTAGCTGCTGTAGTTGGGTCCTTAGGGAAAATCTGGTTCCAAGGCGTACATGGGAAAGCGCAAACGGTTTTGGAGGATCTCCAGTAAGGAATCTGTGGGGTACGTCTGAGAAATCTTCCGAGATGGACACCTTTCACCAACATGGAATCTCTCTTACGGCGCGAAACCCTATGTTGGCCTTGACCTTGTTGCTGGCGTGCTGGGCCAAAATAGCAGCCGATTCACCATTGGGGCAGCCCAGAACGGTGCCTTCGCCCAGAATGCTTTTTAAGGGTTAAGGGTTTTGGGGCTCGTTCAGAAGTTTATGAGAGCAAGGCTGCCAACACTTATCCAAAATATTCATGTACCTACGTAGGTTATACTTTGCACTTTATTTGGAATGTTTACGATTGGAGAGATGTGTCAGTATAGGGGGAAGATGATTGCCTGAGACAACAAGCAGCGCCCTTGTTTGCCATCATGACTGACCAATGGCGTTGAGTGTTGTGAGAGCTTGAACCTACTTGGAGGTCCCTGATGCTCATAAACAAGTGGTGAACCAGCTAAACCCTAAACCCTATAGTAGTTTCAATTTTATCTTCCATTATCCCCATATAGCCCCAATATAGCTCTAAACCCTCAGCCCTAAACCCCAATATGACCCAATGTAATCCCTATATACCAGCGTATCTAGTCGCAAGAGTCTTGAGGACACAGGCCTTGCCCTACGAATGCGGCATGGCTTAGCCTTCCGGGAGGGTTTAGGGTTTAGGGTGTGGCATAATGAAAAGGAGCCCCCATATGGAGGGATATAGGGATGATAAAGAAGACAAATGGAAGCTACTATTCAGGGTTTAGGGTGTAGCTGCTAGGGGAGGGAGTGCTTGCTCTGAGAACCGCACAGTACCAAAAAAAAAACAGGTCACACCTTGTCCTACTGGTTCTTAGTAGGGAAAATGAAGATGATCCCTATATAATCCCACATTCCCTACTACCCCCCGGTAAGTTGTACAGGCTTATTTATACTCTATATATTCGCATATTCCCTATTAATCCTAAACCCTAAAACCATCAACTTACCAAATTCCCTACTAAACCCCAGTAAGTTGTAGAGGCTGGCCGACTAATATTAAACCCGCTAATATCAAATACCCCCAATATATAGTAATAATATATATATACACACTACATACTAACCTTCCCCCCCCACTAAGTTCTAGAGGCTGGGACGTATCATCAACATCATCGGAGAGCCGATTGATGAGCTTGGCCCGATTGAGACCAAGAAGCCAGGACCTGAAATCTCAGGGCCTCAGGAAGTATTAGGGTTTATAGGGTTTAGGATTTAGGGTTTAGGCTTTAGGTTTAGGGCTTCAGGGGGGTTCTGGGGCCGATGCACTTACCGTGGACACGTAAGGAATATGGGAATGTAATCCCCGTTTAGTCCATAAACCCTAAACCCTTCCCCAGGAAGGGCAGGATTTCGATTCCTCAGGGATAGTGCGCTGGGGCTGAATCTACAAACCCTTCCCAAGCTCCACAACTTAGGGTTTGCAGCAGGGTTCAATTTCCGAATCCTAAATGCAGAAGCCCTGAAATATGGGAGTTCCTCAAAATACTTTCTAGAGAGTCCTGAAGGAGGACCGCATAGTCTCCTTGTAGCTCCTGTGTGGCCCTATAGAACCCCACAAGATACCATAATATGACTGTACAGTAAATAATGCGTGGTAAAACTTTTCAGAAACTTCCACATCTTGCTGGTAAGTGAGAACGGTTCTCCTTAAGCGAGCGCAGGGTCCAAGTACACAATTGGCGGACTTTCGTAGGTGCCGATTAAGTAAGCTGAATGGTTTTCTTTTGGCCTAAAGCTCGAGCATTTGGTGCTTGAACCCTCGGGCAATAGGTCCTGTAACCTGACAGTACCAAGACAGACCGAACAGCTTAAATTGTAAATTCCTTCAAAGAAACATGAAACAAAAAATGGGCGCTCTTGCAGACTACTGTCCCTTGATATCAAGTCCCAGGTTAGCTGAGCAAAGGGCGTTTTGATGGTCGTAAACCCTGAGTTATCTGAAGGTTTCAAGTTTTAGACCGCTACATGCGGGTGTGCAGGTGTCATTCACGATCCATGAATTCCTCACAGGCTTTGAGAACCTCTTTAAAACTCAGTATGATCTGCATGTATACGTCGTACATCATTGCGTTCTAGATACATCGGAGAAAACGCTTCATTCAGTTCATGGATCATTCATATCTGTTTCTATGTATACTGTCTTCGACACTTCGCTAGGATCTTAGAACTTAGATCGTTTCTTTTTGGCGGGGTTCCCCTATGTTTCTATCACTCTAGGGCTGCTTGAGTGCTATGGTGTTAAACCCTAAACCCTAAACCCTAAGCCCTAAACCCCCTAAACCCATCTCTTCAGACGGAGGTTTTACGCCATCCACCGCCCCACGCCTACCTTTACGGAGATGAACACCACAGCGCAGCAGCTCCTTACGGGCATCAAGGCATCGATGGGGATGCAGATGCTAGCAGTACTGTGGGGATGATTTAGGGAAATATGGCGATGATGTAGGGTGGCTATATACTGCTTATATATGGATTCCACAGTGATAAAAAAACGAGATATAGAGGAATAATAGAGAATCAAATGGAAAATGAAACCTGCGCTGTGATTTTATGTAGACATTTAGGTAATTATGACCTAGGCTGCAGAAGAGAGCTACTCACAGGGCAAGGACAGTATCAGCGGCACCACAGGTACTGAATGGAAGTGAGAAGAGGGCAAGAAGTTATGGGTACTATGACCAGGAAGCATGTTGTTTGTTGAACAGTCATGCCAAGATCTTCGCAGTTGTAGTAGTGCTCAGTACTAAACCTAAACCCTTAAACCTAAACCCTAACCCTTCAACCTAAACCCTAAACCTTAAACCCAAGCAGCTGCTAGACCTAAAAGGCCAATGGGGTTGTTAAAAAAAACAACTAAACCCTTACACCTGAACCCTAAACCCTAGACCGGGGAGTGCACGTGAACCCTGCTGTAGCACGGAGACCAAGCTTGAGGGTTTAGGGTTTTAGGGTTTGGTGTTTAGAGTTTTAGGGTTTAGGGTTTAGGGTTTTACGGTTTAGGGTGTAGGGTACATGTGTCCCCTGCCCAAGAAAGGTGTCCTTCCCGGGCCAACATGTTCAGTGGTCGTTGGGTGTGACATTTTGAAGGAAAACCTGGATAGGGGCCATTTAATTGGATAAGGAAATTCCAAATCTAACTGAGCCATCGCTCTTTCAAGACAAGGAATCCCTGATTTATTCTGGACTTCCTTGCGACATAAGTTCCATTATAGAACCTTAGTTATACCAACATGTTTGAGTTTCCTGATCCCGCATGATTCAATTTACTGATCCCCTACTCCCTCATGACGCCAAGCCCCGCAATTTAGAGAACTGGCCGTGTAGTTGCTAAGTTTCCAGCATAGCTGCTAGAAAAACTTCTTCAAGCCCTAGACAGCCCCAAACAATTCCTTCAGCTTCTGTCAGCCTTAGGGTTGACAAAAGGAATACTATACATTAGCCTGGGTTGCTGTGGAACTTACATTAAGTTACTTTGATAAGGAAACATTAGTATTTAGTATGTACCCATATTTTGGTAACTTGATTGAAGTTCCCTCACAGCAACCTAGTAAAGGTGGATAGGGGGTTCTTGATGGCTGTTCGTGGCCATCTAGATTACGTTATGCAATGAGACGCCCTGGAACTGCACATCCTAGACCCTAGTTGGACATGTTGAGTCTAGCTTATGGCAATGGTTTCCATGTCCCGCACGTGTGCCTTAAGCAGCTTCCCAGCAATCACGAGCAACTCCGATTTGGACTCCGGATAGCCCCTGGATAGCACGGATATCATTTTAACCACTTCCCATAAATTCCGCAAAGCCTTATGCAGTTCGGATCCCAAACGCCATCCCCAAACCCAATCCGAAAACCTCAATCCCCTATTCCCCCACCCCTGAACCCTCAACCCTAATTCCTATACAAACCCCTAAAACCCTCAACCCCTAAAACTATCAACTGCAAAAACCCTAAACCCTAAAACCCTAAGCCCTAAACCCCTAATCCCCTAATCCCACCATACCCCATATCTTTTTGGCCAGGTGGTCGATCTCCTGGCACCCTACGCCAAGGCCCAGTCTGCCATCTTGCTCGCTGAGAATTTTAGTGACTTGAGGGTTTGCGGGTTTAGGGTTTAGAGTCGAGGGTGTTAGGGTTTAAGGTTTAGGATTTTAGGGTTCAGGGTTTAGGCGCAGTAATACTAATAGTAGTCTTATTCGTAACAGTAAGAACGGCAATATTAAACGATTACTAGTACGAGCAATTATGGACAGTTTAGCGTTTTGGGCTTAGAGGTTGCCAAACACCACCTGGGGTAGTACATAATAACCTCTCAAGGAGCAGCAACAAATCCAAAAAGACACTACATAGGAGCCCTTATGTACGTCTTAATACCCCTTATAGTACTCCCCTATATAGTCCCGTATATGACCCCCCCTTTAAGGGTGTTTAGGGATGGGCATCAGGGTGGAGGTTCTGCAGATTTATGAGGCTCTCAGCTTGGGGTTACTCTGGCTTTTAGTCTCGGAAGCGGTAATAGTACTTATAGTAACAATGGTCATAGGAATGTTAGTAATTGTAGTGGTTGTAGTACTCATCATAATGGTAATGGTGATAATAGGTTTTCTGGGTTTGTGGCTTGGGGTTTCAGAGCAAGGCCACTTTGTGAAACCATTTCTCACACTGAGCGTGGTCACTTGAATATTCTTGGAAATCTTGAACTAGACACTGACACTACTGGTTAAGGTGTAAGACAAATGGAGGTCTGACAAGTCTGAGCTTTCCTCCATCCAGGGTTCTGGTGTTTCTGTGGTAAAAAACAACAATGCGCAGAGCTCAGCTGGGGACAGACGCCAGCGCAGAAGAGGCATTTCAGTGGTCTGCAATGTCAGAAGCCTATGACCTCACAAGCCCTGCGACGTTGAGCCTGACCTTGAAACATAAGTAGGCTGTTGAGTGTGTGAGAATCCCCGTCGCCAAAAAACTGGCATTTATATGTTCAAGACCGCCGTGGAGTCTTGCAGAACCTTTTAAGCATCTCCTGACGTCGTAGCCGTTCATAGTCCCCCTGTCAAATCCTGACAACACCTGGCATCACATGTCGTCTGTCCTGCCTTCAGGGTGGTAAGATTGGCCTCTTCGGAGGGGCAGGTGTCGGAAAGACGGCCAGCATTCCCAGTCGTCGGGGGACAATGCAAGATGTTGGGAATCCAGTGCACGTTTTTGAGGGCAGTTTTCAAGGCTTGTAGGCTCCAGGCTTCAGAGAGAACAAGTTGTTGGTTTGCACTCAGAATTAAGGGGCAAGACGTTCAGGGAGCAGCGGGACCACATGATGTTGGAGACAACAGCATACTTCTCAGGTCTAGAAAGGAGTGGGCGCTAGTAAGGAGCGTATGTCTGAGTCTGTCTGAGTGGGACACCGACATATCTAAACTGTGCCTCCCGCATGTTCCCATGAAGCAAAATAGGATTTCACATGTACATGAGAACCTAACTCATGCACACAGTCAAGCAAGTTGTTATCTCACAGGATGCCTTTGGTTTGTACTGCAGAATCATACATGGAGTTCGTGATGATCCTTGTATGCCCTCTCTCTAACTGGACAATGACTCTATCCAAATGTGTTGCCAAGCCGGTTCAAAGCTGCGGGCAAGCAAACTCGCAGGGTGATAGTGCGGTCTAGTGTAGGTCAAACTGCTCTGGATTTTGCGCACCTGTCTTATAATGATTCAGAAAGAGGTCAGCTCAAACGGCGTTATGCCAGATCTGTCAGGTTTGATGACATATCCATAGAAATCCTGGCTTCTGTCTTCGATGGTCATGAATTTTATGCATGCTGGTCTTGCGCTTCTGGGCATGGTGCTAAGCCCTTCACAGTCAAGGGTTTGGGTTCACGCAGCTGTATTCCCCGCCTTTCGCGTCAAGGCCCGTGGCACCAGTCCTGAGTTCCTGTCCTTCCCCGAAAGTAAAGCTGGCCATGTACCAGACGACAATCAATCCTAAGGAGCTCTTATGGTCTTACCTGTCGAGTACACTAAGATGGCAATCTGAAGACAACACCCCCAGCAAATCTGGGTTGCTGTTAAGGAACTTAAATTGAGTTACTATATTGGGGAAACCCTATTATTTACTATATATTCCCATTATGGTAACTTTATTTAAGTCCCTTAACAACAACCCAGAAATTGGATGTTGGAGCTTCGCCTGCACACTTCTGGACTTGGGCTGCTTAGGTGGTGATCATGGAGCTGATTCACAATATTGCCGGGCTCTCAGAGCCAGGTTCGGCACGGAAGCACCCCTTTTGGTTTAGGGTCGTATAGGGGCTATATAGGGGTTATATTGAGATAATGGAAAATAAAATGGAAACTACTTCAAGGGGTTAAAGTGGTGTCGGGCCGGGGCAAAGAAATCCTGCGTCAGCGAACGCCCAGCAACCTGGGGTTGCTCTTTGTTGCAACGTCGTCTTCCAGGATAAAGGTGCCTGAGCCTCCGTAGGTCACATTCATGAATGCAGTCATCCTATATGTCATGGGCAAAGACTGGGAGTGCTTGATATCAGGGTAGGGTTTTGATCAAGAAGACTCAGCCTGGAACTGATAATTGCTATACTTCAGTGGCCCCAGCCTGCGCACCGGCAGACAGAACAACACAGAACGAAAAATTTGCGGGAGTGTCACCTGCTATTAGTTGAGCATGGGCATGCATGCATGATTCGCATGGTTCTGTAGTCGCTCATGCATTTCTACCGTCTACAGCTGCTGCCACCCGCAAAAAACTTGCACCTCTGACCACACCACCACCACCACCCCCTCTCTTCGGGCTTGGGCAATCCACTCTGGTGCAGAGGCTTTGAAGCATGGCGGCTACAGTGTCTTTGCCGGCGTAGGCCTCGTATCCAAGCCCAAAGCCCGAAGAAATTCTATTCAGGTTTGCAGAGGTTACGCATTTCTTCGCATACATATTGTAAGGGTTTCTAAGGGTACCAGGGAGCTGTACGAGTTTTGGTCCTTCTTTGCAGCCTCCTATGCTGAGGATGATATTGCAGGAGCGCTAGCTTAATTTCGTTCCTGTTTGCTGCATTTCCTCAGCTTCTGAGAGGCCGAAAAGGCTTGATGGATACACATGTGGCTAGACGGGATGTCTAGCTGTGCGACATTGCAAACGAGCGTTTGCATCAGTCTTGTGCACAACCTGTTGTTGTTGGACATAATCCGTTATACCGACCCATGTGTCCAGTGTTTGACTGATCCAAGATTGTTCATTGAGGATCTTGAGTTTGAACAGGATTAGAAGATGCCTGTAACCCCAATTACTTACAGTTTGATGGTTTATACCTACTAATGCACATGTATTTTACTATTAAACTGTAGGCAGTTGGGGTTACAGGTGGTGGACGGGACAGAAACACCCGAACCTTGAGAGCATGGTCCCGGCAAGCCGGCAGGTTGCTGTCAGATTGTGAAACACGCTCCCTCAGGTTGAGATATCTCAAGAACCTCATGGTTCCCTATGAGCTATATATAGTCTAAACTCCTTAAAGGGGTATGTATAAGGGACAATATAGGGGAGGACCATAGGGGTTATTAAGGGGGGATACTAGAAACTCAGACAGCGCATATCACCCCTCTTCATGCATGTACCCTCCAAACAGATGACCCCGGGCTCGAAACGCATAACCTCGGAGCCCTTAAATCCCTAAGCTTCCGCACGAAAGGCGAGCGTACGCGTGAGGGCAATGACTTGTACCACGAGATGATGGCCAGCGGAGTGCCCTGGAGTAGACTGAGCTGGACCAGCCTGAGTTAATGGTTCGGTTTAGGGTTTTAGGGTTTTAGGGGTTTAGAGTTTAGGGTGGTTGGTAAATAGGGATACTAGAGATATTACCTCAGAAGAAAATGGAAAAGGACATAGAAAACGAAATGAGCCAACTTGTGTCAAGGGTAGAACCTACGCACCTTACAACAGCACGACTTTTCCGACACATTAAACGAGACCACAGTTCTTCGAGCCATTTACTAGATCTGCGGGGTGGCGTGGCTTCAGGAGGGAAATCTCTCGATTCACCGATTTCAGGTTTCCATGAAAAAGCAACTTGACCCTGGCCACATGTTGGCTACCGTGATGAGCCTGTGACGAGTAATCTTCTCCCAGTTCACCCAAAACCCTAAACCCTATAAACCCCAAACCCTACTCAGGTCATATGTATTTGAGGATCGATCAACAGACGCACCTCAGGTAGGCTCGCTTGCCAAACGTAAAAGGAGGCTCACGGTATGTTATTGCGATGTGTTATGAATATCAAAAACGAAGAAGAGTGCACCAGAAATTGAACCTTCAAGTGCGATCGAAGATGAGATCACTCTGTTAGTGTTCTGCCAGCAAACGGCTTACTTGGCCTATGATGACACCTTACCTGAGAGCCTTGAAAGCGCAATGGAAAGACAAAGATGTAGTAGAACCCCAGGTGTCCATGTAGCTATGAAGTCTGGTATACCTGGGACCAAAGCCATCATGCGGGAATCTGCCTACATTGACCCTTCCAGGAAATAGCGGGCACCCTCCAGCCTTAGGGAGAAGGGGAGAATTGAGGGGAACAATCTTCTGTGTTACAGTCCAGGGCAGTGGGTGTTTAGGGAACTCGGGAAGGGCCTGAAGTTATACAGCGATGGAGAATTGAATTGCCAAGAAAATGGACAATCACATGGAGTGTGGGGCTGTACAGGGGTGATATGGAGAAACGTGAAGAACTTGAGCCGAGCTGCCACGATATGGACATATAGTAGTTTGATAGGATGTCCCATGTATAGTAATTTAGTTTAAGTCTCAGGTTATGTCGGACAAACGCATAGCTGATGATGATCTGAACAGAGTGACTTTAGCAGCAACATTGCAATGCCGCTGGAAAATTCTTTTCAAGCAAACATGGGACGCACGACTTTCAAGCATCAGCTAGCCCTTTCTTTGGCTTGTTAGACCCGTCGCATCTTACACATGACATTCCACAGCAACCAATGCCACCTCTGCTTTTGAATCGCAAAGGCTCAAGAATTAGGTACGCATATTATGGCTACCTCAAAAAGAACACCAAACCCTACTCTAACTGTGTCGGCTCTGTCTCGTTGCACGGAAAGCCAAGGTGATCAAGAAGGACAAGGCACCTGGCTCCAAGGCCGAGATTGCCTGAGTCAGGGATTGGGGCTTAGCGGCTTAGCACGTGTAGTGATTCCCGTTCGGGGTTTAGGCTTTGAGCGGGGGGACGTTCCTACTCCGCGGTCCCCAAAGTTGAGATTGCAGAGTTTGAGGTATAGTTCACAAACTTGATAACGATGACCCCGCCACGTGTGCTTAAGGCCCGCATACCCCATGAACCCCTACCTGGCCCTACTTATTCACAGGACGCTATACACTGCACCGCATGCATTTGCATATACCCCTACGTCTACACCCCAAGCCCTCAATCCTACATCTTTCCCTGCGTATGTGCATCTTCTTACATGCCCCCCCCAATACCTCTACACCCAGCACCCTGACGCCTCACATGTCCTCATCCATCCGCCGATTTACCTCTACGTCATCCCACACCCCCAACCCTGAATTCCACTATAATGGGGTTATATAGGGTTTAGGGTTTGGGGATATTATCCCCCAATAATGGAGAATCCAATGTAAAAGAAAATGGAAAATGAAATGGAAACCTTTATTTATGGTTTAGGATCTCCCTACGTTCCCGTCATATCCCTGTAGATTGTATATGCGTGCGCGTGTCTCTAAGCCTTTAATGTCCCTTAGACCTTAGCTTAAGGCCTAAGACTTGCATCCCTATATGTTTCCCTACATATCCCAACACCCCAAAGCCAAAGCCCGCCTACGTTACGTCAGCGGATCCCATACGTGGAGGTTGCTCTGAGACCACCTACAACCTAAATCCTGAATAGTAGTTTTCATGTCCTTTTCCATTATGCCTATATAACCTCCTTATAAACAAAATCCCCACATCTTCATGTGATCAGACCATCCCCATCATCATCCAGGGCTTCCCTTTTTTTCAAAGACCTGAAGCCTGAACCCTAAGCCCAAAAACCTGAAATCGGTAGATCGCTTTGACCCATTGAAAGGTACCTAAAGTATACATCCCCCCGCCCATTTGCTCGAGACAATCCCATATCCTCGTGTATCCCTGCATATTCCAGTGACTTACCTAGCCTCACACCCCCAGTTCTGAAGCCTAACACCTATATCAGTACCTTCCTCACCACAATTTCTTTGAACCCTACATAGGTGGGAATTCTACATATCTGATTTCCGAAGGCAGCTCTCGTGTACGGCCAGATGAACGAGCCCCCTGGAGCCCGCGCGCGGGTGCTTTGGCAAGTTGGTGCGGTTGGGGTTGAGGGCTTAGGGCGTTGAAAGTCTACGGATTCGAGGTGCGCAAGTTGAAGTTTAGGGTTGGGGTTCATGCTCTCCAGGGGTTTTGGGTTTGCGACTTGCGGGATTCGGGTTTTGGGTTTTCAGAGCTTGGGGTTTGAGGCATGTGTGTGTTTTTCATTTTAGGGGCAAGGGCCTTGGCTAGCATAAACACCTACAGCAGTAGTAGTGCATCCTCTCTTTGTCCGTGTATGGCTACAGAAAAAGAATTCCTCAATTGCACCTCAGAGGTTGTTCTATCAAGTATTCAGCCCCCAGCCCCCACAAGAGCCACTGGAGTCACTGCCCACAACATGCTTCTGACCACGCTGCATGCAGCCGTAGGGAAGAGATACGAGATTTCGAGTGCAGAGCTTAATTCACAGGACCCCCCTGACCTTACCTGCTATAGCTAGAGTCCCATGCAAAGCTTTTATCTACTCCTGCGGTATCAGATTGCTTCAGCTATAAGAACTACCTTGCCAGGACTATGTCAGAAATGTGAAGTGCCCGCATGTTGGTAGCAATGAGATATTCTAGTTCTGCCGTCATAAACCCACAAACCCCTAATCCCGAACACAAACTTCCTTAACTCAAAATCCCTCACAACAACAATGTCAACCTAATTCCCAAACTCTCGCAAATCTCCTCTGCCCCAATCCCTAAACCATTCTCCCGTATTAAATAAGTTATCCCTAAACCCTATTCCCTAAGCCCTAAACCCTACTCCCTAAGCCCTGAACCCTAACCCGAACCACTTAGGGTCTGGGGATCCTAAACCCTAATCCCTAAACACTACCCCCTAAACCTAAACCCTAATCCCTAAACCCCTAACCCCCTAATCTCTGAACCCTAAACCCCTAAACCCTAAGCTGTCAAGCAGGTGGCCCTGACCGGCCTCACGGTCGCTGAGTACTTCCGTGATGAGGAGGGCCAGGACAAGGGTTTAGGGGTTTAGGGTTTCGGGGTTTAGGGTTCAGGGGGCCAGGACGAGGGCAGAAAGACTTGGGGTTTAGGGTTGCAAGGTTATAAAAGGCAAAGGAAAAGGATTGGAAAAGGGACCTGGTGGAATATAAGCAGACTTTCAAACATAGGGGTACATAGGGTTTGCACAATGGAAAAGACAACGGAAACTATCATGTTATTTGGGACTCAGAGTTTACCTGTGACTCAAATGGCCTAAAGGGGTCAGAAGGGGTACATGGGGAGATAGATGGGTACAGAGGTATTTACCGGCTTTGGGGCTTACCTGTAGCAACTGTAGCCCCTTGTGCCTACAGTTTTATGGATTGATAGGGTACCTTTGCGGGCATTGTCTAGGTTTATATATCATCAACAATGGAAACAACTAGGTTGTTTAGGGTTTAGTGTTTGCCTCTAAGCACAAACACATACAGTTTTAGAGGAGCGGCCCTTAAAAGGCGTTGTGTATCATATATATATAAGGCTGGTACTATTCCCTAAGGGTCCAAGTATTCAAACATTATATACTTACCCAAAACCTGCACTATAATTGCTATTGCCTAAAACTCAAGTACCTAATCATTGGGTACATGGACCCTTGAACGGAGATTCGATGGGATTTACAGGTCGGTCGGGGTTAAGGCTGTTCATGAAGACAGGTTGGTGCTGTCTTAAAGATGAGGAGGATGTTGCCTGAAAGCCGGATTCGCTGTTGATCTTAGATAGGGGTTAAGAAGAAGGCATTCGTCTTGGGTACGAGGGGGTGAGATGAGGTGACTGTCAGATAAGGTATTCATGCTTCTGTGCTCCTTGTGTGACGTGCATAAGGACGCTGAGGCCAACGTTGACGATTGTAATGGATTTGTATCAGAAAACTGGGGACTAAGCCAACAGGAAATCTGAATGTGCTTCGGAGTGGTAGAAGAAGCAGTTCTGGTACCCTACTTTCAATTGCGATCGTGAACCTGAATGCACTTTTGTCCTCTTTTTAGCGACGCAACGCCTCAAGCCTAAACCTGTAGAGCAGGCTGAGTCTGACGTTAACGCAGTGACACTGAAAGGATGTGCTGCTTTTCGTGGACAACATCTTCCGCTTCACGCAAGCTGGTTCCGAGGTGGCTTGGGGCTTTGTGGCGCCCACTTGTCGAGGGTTCAGGGGCTTAAAGCTCTAGTTGCTTTTAGACATTTGAGTCATGTCCTGTCAACTTTCAAACCAATGCACATTGGAAAGTGAAAGCGTATAACGCATTGTCAACCCCGTGCACCCCCACTGTCATAGGTCCTTCTTAAACACAAGCCTTTGGGGCATTTCAAGCAGAGTGGGTATGTGTTTTTATGTTGGGGGCTCTTAGTTGCAGGTTTCTTTGTGGATGCAAGATCCCAGCTCATCTTGAATCCCTCGTAGGTATGGCTCCCGTCCAAACAGTTATCACCAACACATAGCTATGCCATCCGAATATAATAGCATCATGGCATGGGGGAATATTGACTATGGGGGGGGGTGGTGGCCTAAACCCTGAACCCGGGG